AATTCTCTGGCATTTTGAGATGCACTCTTTGAAGGACTAGGATCCTATTGGTACTGCATTTGGGCAGGGTAGAGAAGACCCCATGAGCAAGTAGGGTTTTGTCTCTTGCCTCCTCCTCCCCCTTGAGAACTAACCAGATTAGTTCTGCCCTTACCTCTTGTAGATTTCGGTTCTATCTATGATTTCATTTAGAGAAAAAGTATTGAATTCTTGAAAGTGATTGCTATGATATTGAGATAACTATGGAAGGTGTAAGGATAAATTCCTTCTCAGGGATTTTTCAGAAAAGAAGCTGTGCAGTGTAGTGGTTAAGCGCACAGTTAAAGTTAGATTGCCCTAGTTCAAATCCTACTTTGTGGGACCTTAGATATGTTCCTTATCTTCTCTGTGCCTCGGTTTCCTCACCTGTACAAGGAGGTGATCATAGCACCTGCCTCATGGAGTTGTGTTATGGGGAGGCCATGAGTTAACTGTGCAGAAAGCACTTAGAACAGTGCCTCAGACATGCGTTCTCTCTCCGTGTATATTATTACTGCTTAGCTCTCCCCAGTCATGAAATAATAGCTTGATAGTCTGGGTCCAGGATGATAGGATCCACAAAGAGCATCGGGTTCAATACTCTCATTTTCCAATGAACAAATTAGAGAAAGCCCACGTTAGAGAGGTGGCTAGCCTAGGGCCACACAGCTAATCACTCGGGTCCCCAGGCCTCAGACTCCTCTTTGACAAGGCCTGCTGGGTTTTTCAGGTGATTAGTCAGAACTAGCATCACACCACCGTCCACTGGCCCACCTGGACAGTTAGACCTGAGAACTGCAGGGACCTTCTCATCACTTTAGGAGATTGCAAGACACAGGCGTAGGGAGCTGGAGGGACACATTCTAGGCCCACCACAGGAAGCCAGAGTTGGCTCCCTCTAACTGAGTGGGTTTTTTGTTTTGGATTTGGGACTGGTAATCAAAACCTCTGAACCCATCTGTGTAGACACAGTGGCCTCCATATGGCCGCTGTCTCTACTCTCCCTGGCTCTGCTGTGTGCGGATAGCTGCCATCCAGAAATGTCTGGGGAGTCTGGCTCTTCAGAGGGACCCACCCGAGCAGCTGGCAGTGAAGAGGTGGGAGACGTGAGCTCACTCTTTTTAGGATGGCTCAGACAGTTCATCTCTTGTTTTAGGAGGGAGAGTCGAGTAAAGATTGTTAGAATTTAAATTCTTCATCTCTGCACTATTTAGCCAAAAAAGAGCCTGGACATAACACCTAGCCAGCTTAGGCCTTTTATAGAAGTCAAGAAGGTAGCCAATTTTCCTAAAGCTGAGCTTTGAAAGTTACTTAGTTCCTATGTTAGAATTCCCATTCTGGCAACAACTCTGGGGAAAAATTAAGCTGCAGATTTGCTGAGCTAATAGCTGCCTGGATCATGAATCCGGGTCATATTTCAAAGCACACAGTACTTTTGTGTCTGAGGGGTAGGCTGCTGGGCTGCCTGTGACTGAGAGACACAGTGAGGCCCATAACCAGGGAAGAAATGATTTCATTCGGAGAGAAGGTGGACTCTGCCCAGAGCCTGTGAGGGAGCTGGTGGTTAGGGTGGGACCCAGCAGGCGGCCCCTTGGCTTCTGTTCCTGGCCCACCTGCTGAATAACTGCAAAGCCACCCCTGAGCAGTCATGTGTCTGTGCACCCCCACCTGGCCTCTGACACTCTTTCCGTGGGTAAGCCTGGGAGGTGCAGGGGTGGCTCTTTCTTCCTGGGGGACCTGGAGTGAGCTGAAGAGGGGCCTCCACCTCCTCCTGCTCTGCAGGCCTCCTGCAGGGCCTGGGCTGGGGCTGAACTCCGACTGGCTGGCATTCTCCGAGCCAAGAGGCACAGCCGGAGGTGACTTAGGGCAGTGTTAGCCGTCTCCCTCACAGCCTCTAATGCTGGGGAATCCAAGACCCGCTGCAGCCTCCAGTGTGGAGCATGACACAGGCAGAGATCATCACTTGCTTCATGACCCACATGAGATGGAGAAGCAAAGCCTTTTTGTTTCTTGTTTCCTCCGCCCCTAATTTACTTGTTGCCTGGAGACAACGTGGTGTAGAGTTTATGCAAGGGGGCCCCAGAGTCCGATTGAAACCCAGTTCTGCCCTGCTCTTTGGGATCCTGGGTGAATTATTTAGTTTCTCCGTGCCCACTTTCCTCATCTATAAAATGAGGGTGATAGTGTGCACTTTTTGGTTCATGTAAAAAGTAACTGGGGGAAAAAGGGAAAGTGTCTACACAATGGCTGACATGAATAAGTGCTCAGAAAGCCCTATTCATGGTTATATGTCAATGAGAATGTTAAATTAAGTAGAGATGTGGCACTTTTTTTTTTTTTTTACCATATATAAGGTATTTGGATAAACCTGAGTATTGTTTCTCCATGGCAGATCCTTCACATACATCCTTATTTCCCATCCTGCCTTTGTTGGCATTGGCATTTCCCCCACCTTCATGTACACTTATTCGTGGCTTATACCCCAGTCTTAGAAATAAATATCTAAATTTTTCATTGACTTAACTCTCCCTCTATCAGAGGAGTTCTGACAAGTACAAGCTCTAAAAAGAATACCTGATGATAGATGGTAGGCATCATGTGCCCTTCCCCCACCCACCCACCCCCAAAGCAAAGACTACTTTGCCTGCTAGGGAAAGTGGGCAGGGTTACTAGACAGGAATTAGGATGGAGCCAGAAAAGCCATGAACCAGGCCATCAGAGTGGCCTCCTCCCGTGATTGAGAGGCAGGAGGGCAGCGTGGTTACTGAAATGACTGGGAGCTCGCTGATAGAGACCATCTCAAGAGATATATCCAGATGTTGAGATAACATAAGTTGGTGGCCATCAGACATCAGCCCTAAGGCATAGCTGTTGGGGGGTTGATGGAGAAGACACAGGAGGAAGATCTATTCCATGGTTTTGATGGGCCCACATGCTCAGTTGTTCTTTAAAAAGATGCTATCACATTTGTCATTAGGGTGAGAGATAATCATTGAAGTGAATGAGTATCCCCCAAATCAAACTTTTTATCTGTAAACAAGAACAACATCCCCAGACTTACAAAAGCTGTCGGAATTCTCTGGGGTCTTCTGCTCCTAACACAATGAAACCAGTTTCAGGAAGTCGCTGGCTTCTCAGTTTGGGGAGTTTCCTTGCGGGCTGAGCCGGCGGAGCGCGAGGCATTGGCTCTGTTTCTGGCTTGCAGACGATGACCACTGGATCATCGACACGGACTACGACACCTATGCCGTGCAGTACTCCTGCCGCCTCCTGAACTTCGACGGCACCTGTGCTGACAGCTACTCCTTCGTGTTTGCCCGCAACCCCTACGGCCTGCCTCCGGAAGTGCAGAAGGTCGTGAGGCGGAGGCAGGAGGAGCTGTGCCTGGGCAGGCAGTATAGGCTGATTACGCACAATGGTGAGTGGGCTGGTGGGCAGGAGCCCGGGCAGCAGCCAGCTCTCCCTGAGGGGTCGGTGGGCAGGGAGTTTGTGCCCACCTGCCGGTGGGATGTGTTTCATCTGCCTGCAGGAGAAAACAGGGAGCCTTAGGAGCCCCTGGGAGCCCAAGTCTTGGCTCTTCTCGATCAGATGTTTCAGTGGCCTCATCATGGGGCTGATGCGGAAGGAGTGGACAAACGCCTTTTTTCAAAAACCTGGCACTTTCACTTAAGTAAAACTGCAGGGGACTCTTCCTTTTTTTCTGCCAATTTAGCCCAGTCGGTAGTCACAGGATTTTGCCCCTGGATGCTCTGCCCCCAAAACCCATTTTGACTGAATTAATATTATTTGGGGATTCAGTGGCCCCAGTGAAGAGTTGGGCTGCAAATGTGGCCATTGGTGTAAAAACTTAGAGACATCATCACAGCAAGTTCAAAATGATTTCAACAAATGCTCTTTCTCTACCGTGAAACCAAATTGACTAGCTGATCTTCCTCACTTATATTTTTGGATATTTCCTGGAATGACAATTGGGTCTTTATATAGATTCTATCTTCATCTGATATTGATCTGAAAACCAGGAACATTCTAAAAGAAAGAGTGCTGTCTATTTGAATTGACACTCACTCCCATGGAAAACTATGGCAATGTTAAAATGTAGGAAAAAGAGAACAAAACTGAACTTTTCGGTTGGTCTTCTAACTAGCTGAGCAAAACTACACCAAAACAATATGAACCCAGACCAAAAACATAAATCAGTAAGATTTTGATGTTTCACCCTGGGGTGGTCAGGCAAGGATTTCAGCATGGGCAGACTCCAGGCCAAACCCTTTGCCTATATCTCATCTATCTGATGAGAAAATAGAGGCTGAGAAAGATTACAAAAGTTGCCCAAGATCTGTATAGTAAGTAGCTGAGTTGTATGCAAACCAAAATGTTGTGTTTTTGTTTTGTTTTGGCACTGAAGCCCCTTGTGGCACCACCTGGTGATACATGGCACAGGACATGGGGAACTTTCTATAAAATTACTGGTGGGGTGGCTGCGATCAGGCACACTTTCTGAAAAGGAGGATGCCCCCCCCCACCCTTTGAAATGCAGTGAGGCAAATTTAAGACAAATAAAAAGAACAGTATTTCATACAGCAGATCCCATTGCCCCAGATAAATTCAAAGGGTTGCAGAAAAATTCTTGAAGCTGATTATGAATTACAGCCTCATCCTGCTGTAACCTTACAAGAATGGGTCCAGAATTCGTAATCTACCTTACGCACTGGGTCCATCTTTCTGTCGCTGATGACTTTGTTTTCTATATTTCAGGTTACTGTGATGGCAAATCAGAAAGAAACCTTTTGTAGCAACATCAAGGAGGTCAAGTTTCGTTTGAAAACTTCCCACTTTCGCTCAGCCTTCAACTCTATTTATCGTAGTTTAGTCTGGCCCTCTCTCCTCCCCTCTTCCTCAGGAAACATAAAACCTTCAGGACACATAAAAATACACGTGGGAACAAGTGAATCCATTTGCAGTCAGGTGTATGTTTTTTTCTGGGGTTTTCTAGGGAATCGTTTGAGGCTTAGGATTCCAGACTTTGAATTATTAAAACGTAGTCTCCTGTTTCCTATGATGTGGGTGTTCATTTGTGTCCACGTGTTGTCGAAGTGAGAAGTCCTGCAGATGGTTGGGTAGGATGCACTTCTATACCCCTGGAGGTGTTCTTGCCTCCCTGGTTCTTTATGATCTTTGCCTATTCTGGTGCCTGATTTCCATTAGTGACAGTGGCTTCTCCCAACTTCCTGCAGGTCACATTGGCACACCCAGGTCTGGAAGGCCCTAGCTGCCAGCCTGGCCAAGGCACCGAGGCTAAACCAGCAGGTGAATGAGTGTGGGCCAGTGAGCCCAAAGCCCTGAGCATCCCAGGACCAGGGAAGGGGCAGCATGGCCGGCTCACCTGGGTGTGTTTGAGAGGCATGGGTCTGGGTCAGCTCTGACAAACATCCCAGCCCTCCACTGTTTCTAGCACTTAATTCACTTCTTATTTCAGATGTGGCCAAAATATTGAGGAGAGGAGGCCTTGGGCTTCCCTGAGGGAATTGGAACATGGGGCCCTCGGAAGCCAGGTCTGGGGGAAGCTCCCAGTGCTCCCTACCTGGACTTGGAGCAGCAGGAAAGGGCATGGTGGGTGGCGGTGAGCACCAGGACCCCACACCATCAGCAGTACTTGTGAACATCACTGTTCAATTGCTGCAAAGCCATTTGCCCCAGTTTCCCAGGAGCTCCCAGGAGGCTTTGGTGCCAGAGTCTTTAAGTCCAAGTCCAGTTCTGACATAGTCGCTGTGTGATTTGAGCTGGTTACATGGCTTTTCTGAGCCTCACTTTTCTCTTGTGAAATATGGGGAAAGAGTATCTGCCTGATGGGATGCAGTGAGGATTCAATTAGAGCACGTGGGAGCTGTGCAAACACTGGCCAGGCCCGCTGACAGCTATGAAATGTGTCAGGTGGGGAAGGACACCTCTTTCCCCGGTGTGCAGAGATCTCTGCCTGGGTGCTGGCATATCAAGGGCCCATGGGAGGCTTGTGGGTCCCCCACCCCAGTGTGCTTGTCCTCCCACCAAGGAAGGAGGAAACAGGTGACCATGTATGGGAAAGGCCTACCTGTCATCACACACAGCAGCAGATTGTCAGAGCCAGGCCCTTCAGCCTCAGTTTGACAACCCAGAGACCCATAAGATAGCCACACATCACTTCAAAATAGTTTTAATTCATCAAGTCTATTAGCTAAAGATGAACAGAAAATCCCTGTCCTCTTGTCCTCGAGCACCATAAGTCCTACTTCAGAAGAAGCTATTCAAGAAACTCCACAAGCAATGGAACTACTGCTGCTGATGTACTTGACAACAAAGCCATGTTGAGCACCTACTATGTACCAGGCCCCAAGCTACTGCACATTCCAGGCGTGGGCCCAACTTCCATGTGATGGCATGTCCCATGGTTCAGTTTGGCTCTGGTTTCTTCTTTCTCTTCTCTCCCAGGAATAATTCCTAAAAGCTTAGGCCTGTAAACACGATCTGATGACTCGCCACATTGCGTCTTCAGGCCCACACTCCACAACCTGGCATCCAACGACCTACTCTCCATTTGGATCTCACTGGATTTCACACTTACACAAGCCTCAAATAAAATCCTTGGCTCTCCCACCCCCAGGCTTCCCCCCTTGTTGTTGGTTGGCCCACCATCCAACCAGTGTCAGTCTACAAATTTAGAAGTCACCCTTGCATCCTCTCTTTCCCTCACATTGTACATCTTGTCCATCAATAAATTGTGCTTGCTCCATCTTCCCAAAGTATGTCCTACGATCATTCTCCCCCCCCTCCTCTGGCCTCCAAATATTGGAGTTATCCTATATCTTCTGATTTCATGACACCAAATCTCCTAAAGGGGTCCATAGCATTCCTTATAAATAAATAAAAAAGTCACCTTTGGTTGTCCTGGGAAATTCCTCAAGCATTATCGACATTAATGAACGATCCGGAGGCCTTGCGAGTCCAGGGGAGAGACCTAGAGTGGCTGTGGCCCTTCAGAGAAATCTGAGTCCTGGACCAGTTGTAAGATTCACTTCAGAAACCAGCCAGGTGTGGCTTTATATGCAGGAGATGTGATTGTTGAACAGGTATAAATAAAAATTTATTACATTCAATCATACGACAAACACACTGAAAAAGTTCATATTTCAAGAAACCCATAACAAATCCTTTTATAAAGGATACAATGCTTTCGCTGAAGGATCACCCCTTAATTTACTGGTGCCCTGAACGTATTTGCATAGGTTACATCTTCCTAAAGCAGGGCACCCTGGTGTAAGGGTCCTGGAGATGCACTCCCTTTGAAGACACACCAGTGGCTCACCAGAGTGACCCACTCTGCCTCTAGAGAGAAATTAATTATGTGGAAATGATAGACAGGTCATTTCTCCTGAGAGACGTGTCTGTAAACATGGCTCCCTTGTCTGGGAAGAAGATGCCCCGGAAAATTTTCCTCCATTCGTTCCTGAACAGGGACATGTTGTAGAGGATGGGGTTCAGGGCCGCGTTGGCGAACGTGAAGGCCACCACCCAGAAGAAGAGTGACGGCCAGATGACCAGGTCCTGCTTGAAGTTCTGGATCAGGATGAGCAGGATGGTGATGATGATGGGGCTCCACATGATGAAGAAGGAGATCATGAGCAGGAAGAGGGTGCGGAAGAGCCGGAAGTCCTGCTGCGACACACGGATCTGGTGGCTCTCCGAGTACGCCAGGCTCACCGTCAGCCTCCGGCGCGACGCCTTGGTGATCTGCGGGGACACAAGCAGCGGAGCCACAGTCACCACAGGTGACAGCAGGGAGATCTGGGTCACGAGGAGCATAGGGCGCCAGAGTTGGAATCTGCTGCCCCCGCTGCACTGGGACTATTTTGTGCGGAGAGCGCACCCTTAGGAGAGGTTGATCCATCCTTAGGTGAGGTTGGTTCACCCTTAGGAGAGGTTGGTCCACCCTTAGGAGAGGTTGGTCCACCCTTAGGAGAGGATGGTCCACCCTTAGGAGAGGTTGGTCCACCCTTAGGTGAGGTTGGTCCACCCTTAGGTGCGTTGAAGAAATGGGGCGCCTGGGTGGCCCTCTGAGAAAAAAGGCAAGAAATCATTCACTTGTAGATAGAGTGGACGAGGGGAAGTGAAAGGCCTGCATCGGATGGGGTAGAAGAGAGAGGTGAGAACAGAAGCACAGGGCTTTGGGCTGAGTGTGTCCTTCTCCCAGATGTATTTGTTAAAACCTAACCTCCAAGGTGATGATGCTATTAGGAGGTGGGGCCTTTGCGAAGTGATTAGGTTATAGGGAGGAAGCCCTGCTGAGTGGGATTAGTGCCCTTAAGGAAGAGATGAAGGGCCCTAGCCGGTTTGGCTCCGTGGATAGAGCATCTGCCTGCGGACTGATGGGTCCCAGGTTCCATTCTGGTCAAGGTCACATGCCTGAGTTGTGGGCTTGATCCCCAGTAGGGGGTGTGCAGGAGGCAGCTGATCAATGATTCTCATCATTGATGTTTCTATCTCCCCCTTCCTCTCTGAAATCAATAAAAAATAAAATAAAAAGAATAGATTCTCCTCTTCTGATAAACTGAGAGCACTCCTTAGAAATATTCTACTAAAAAAAAGAGAGAGAGAGAGTTGAAGGGATTAATCTTCATTCATTGGCAGTTATAGAATAGTCATGGGGATGTAGTCAATACAGTGATATTGTAATAACCATGGAGGTGCCAGGTGCGTGGAAGATTATCTGAGGGATCATTAGGTAAGTCATATAAATATCTAACCACTATGCTGCACACCTGAAAAACTAAATAATACTCAATATCAACTGTAATTTAAAATATTTTGAATTAAAACATTAGAAAAGAGGCCCGAGAGCGCTCCCTGGACACTGCTGCTGTGGGAAGACACGGTGTGAGGTGGGCAGTCTGCAGCCTGAGGGAGGCTCTCACCAGGACCCCATGCTGGTGCTCTGATTTCCCACTTCCAGGCTCCGGAGCGGTGAGAAATCAATTTCTATTGTTTATAAGCCACGCAGTCTGCGGTATTTTGTGATGACAGTCCAAAGAGACTGAGACACACAACTTCCCTACTGTCTCTTTTTTTGAAAGAGCTAAGTATTGTTTGCACAAAAGCAACATGTGCTGAAGATACAAACTTAAACAGGACGATGCCGAAGGAGTCTGGGGTGGGGCTGAGCTTCGGCGTTTCTCCTGAGCTCCTGTGCAGCTGCTGCTGCTGCTGCTGCTGCTGCTGGTCCGAGGGCCACACTTTGAGTAGTGAAGTGTGTCTCCCAGGCCCGGGGTGGTGGGCAGGCTCGGAGTGGGGAGCGGGGGGCAGAGGAGTCTGGCCTCCCTGGTGGCTGGGAAGAGTCCAGTGCTCAGGTGCAGGCCGCCCTGGAGATACATACAGCATCCTGCCTTGATGCCTAATTCCAATTGTCCTTTAAGCACAGCCAGAGGGCAGAAGGCCCGCTGTCCCCTATCACTTGCTCAGCATTAATGGTACCCAGAGTTTTGGGGGTGAGAGGGACAAAGGTTTGTGATGGTGAACAGGGGACAAACTGGCGCATAGCTAGCACAGGATGCGATGGGGCACTGTACATGTTAGTTTGACATGCTTTGTTCCAGCCTGTGACCTCTGTCCCCAAGGAAGAGATCAAATTTAGAATGCGTTGGTCACATGCATGGTCCTTGCTAACTCCCACTTGCTTAGTCTGGCCCTGTGTCCTGCTGTAGCCACACAGTGGGTGCTTACATGACTGGAGACCTTAATGGCCACAAATCTCATTAGCAGGCCTTCCTAGGCCCATTCCACTAAGATTCTGGAATCTCAAGAGGGGAAGCAATTTGAAAGCAATTAGTGTAATTCACAGTTTGGGCAAGTTTAACTAAAAGGTCACAATGGCTTAAAATAGTCTCCCTAGAATACCTGTTACTAGCTCATTAAAGAGTAGCTGTGTGTTTTATAATTAAATATAATTGCTGTGGTTTTCATGCAGTAGCTTAGGTCCACCTCTTGGTGACAGAGACCAGGGCAGCAGATGCTGAGTGAACAGAGCCCTCTCTTCCCCACCCACATCCCAACCACAAGAACAGTGGGAATAAGGCTCGCTGGGCCTCGGGGAGGGCTCCCTGTGTGCCAGGCACTGTACTGTGCATTGATATTTATAAATTGTCGCGTTTCATCTTTACAGCTGCCCTGTAGATTGGTACTATCATTATTTCAGCTGCAGAGATGAGGATAATGAACCCCAGGCAATTCGAGGAACTTGTTGAGGGTTACTCCACTGTTGATACCTGGTCAAAGTCCCCATCTGTGCAAACCCAGCTTAGTTGAGATAAAGACGAGCCACATCATAAAAGGCTCCAAAGGGGCTGCCATCCTCTTCAGCCCTCCCCGCCTCTGCCTGTTCCGCAGGGTGGGGCTGCTCAGGAGACATAACCCACCATCTCAGGCTCGCATGCCTGAGGTCACATTGGCATACCCAGGTCTGGAAGCTGCTGCGTAGAATCAAGTTAGAATGTGTGTGCAGGTGAAAGCTGCTTACGCTGAGACTACCTGGGCCAACAGACCTAGGAGAGTAACCGCTGGGCAGGTTGGCAGGTGGGAGGGCTGCAGGGGAAATGCCACCACCTCTGAATAGGGGTGTCACTCTAGTCCTAAGTGCAGCCTGGTGGACACATAAGGAATGATTCAAAAGCAGCCTCATCGCTCGTGCTGCCCACATTGCCTGCCAAGAAGGATGAAGTCCCTGGCACTGTCTTAGACATTTTTTGAAATGAGTGGTGGTGATGAAGGTTCATCTTTATTGAGCACTTATGTGCCAGGCCCTGTACCTATCACTTGGTTTATCTCTTTAAATTCTCCCAGCAGTTCTGTGACATATGTACTTTGAGGATCCCCATTTTACAGATGAGGAAACTAAGGCTAAAAGAGGTTAAACAACTTGCCCAACAGCACCCAGCACTTGCAGAGCTGGGCTTCAAACCCAGCCCATGCTCTTAAACTAGTTCCTTCCCGCTCTCTACTGTCTCCATCAGTGGAAAGCCTCTGCCCAGCCTGTAACCCCAAGCTCTAATGCCAGGAGCTCTGAGAAGGAAGGCTTCCGGGTTCATCTGCTCGGCACCAGCGGTGCTTTGTTTTAGGCAGTCACATGGCACCTGCCTCATACACTGAGTGACAGATGTTGGAGCGTCATTCTTGCCTCTGAACCCCAGCTCCCTGGGTGCCGGACTGCCCTGTGGCTTCTGTGCCTGACAATGACTGTGAGCAAACAGACAGAAAAATTGGACTGACTCATGAGCCAAGTAGCTACGTGGTTGCGTCTTTTTTTAGAACTGACTGCTGCTACTATTTCCTTCTGGGCAGTTTCTGCAACTTCTGGGGAGTGAGGAGGAAAATGGGCCCATTATAATGAAATGTGGCTCCTCCTCTTCTCTCTTCCCCACATTAGATCACAAGACTAGTCAACTGCTACCCAGGGCTTTCAGTGTCCCTGGCATTGGGCAGAATGCTTGATGTGCTTTTAAACTAAAAGCTCAATTCACTTCTGAGGATTAACTTTAATCTTAAAACAAGCCAATGGGGTACGTTCTGTCATTACCCCGTTTAGGAACAAGAGACGAGGCTCTGAGCAGTGAAGTGACTTGCACAGAGCCTGGAGATCAAGTGGGAGTGTGTACCTGGGGGGGGGGTGGTTCTTCACTGGGCACTGCTGCAGGGAGAGAGGACAGCCACCTGCATCCGTCACCTGGCACTTGATAAAATGCACCTGGTTGGGCTGCTTTCACACACTCTGCTTCTGTGGGTCTGAGTAAAGCCTAGAAATCTACACTTTCATAAGCTCCCCAGATGCATCTCCCCACTAAAGCACGAGAACTACTGATCTGGGACAACAGACTTGAACTTTCTCCCAGACCTTTGAGGAGTCACTTTTTAAATATATATATATATATTTTTTATTGATTTCAGAGAGGAAGGGAGAGAGAGAGAAACATCAATGCTGAGAGAGAATCATTGATTGGCTGCCTCCTGCACCGCCCCCGTTGGGGATCAAGCCTGAAACCTGAGCATGTGCCCTGACCAGAAATCGAACTGTGACCTCCTGGTTCATAGGTCAATGCTCAACCACTGAGCCACACCGGCAGGGCTTGAGGAGTCACTTGATAAATTGTTTGAGACTCGCCGCCTTCATCTGAAGGCTGTGAGGGACCCTTCTCTCCACCTCAGACCCTTAGCCACTCCCCCAGACCATGGTTGCTGACAGGCGGGTGCAGGGAGAGGTTGCTCCCCACCGACATGGCTCAGGTCCCTGAGCGCTGGGTCTCCTTGGGGGCTGCTTGTCAATCAGCAACTTCCTAATTAGAATCATCAGACAATAGCCTCCATCCTTCCAGAAGGCCCATCTCCCTTTCCATAGCAAACAGGCCTCAGAGCTGGGGAATGAGGGTCATGCGTGTTCACTTCCCAGCACCTTCACATTCAGCTGAAACATTTTGTTTCTCAGGTAAGCTCTGAGATAGAAAAGCATTTTCCAGCTTTAAGCCACAGACTCACTCCCACGCAATGAACATTTATTGAGGCCCTTCTATGTGCCAAGCACTCTTATAGGTGCTGGATATATAGCAAAAAGCAAGGGCACCCTGCCTTCCCTGCACTTCCACGTTAGTGTGTAGTAGGGAATGGGGAGGAGGAACAAGAAACATACAAACAAAGGGTAGAAGCATCTCACCTTGCCATGGCAATGGTTGCTGGGTGACAATATAAACCAAGCCCCAACAGCTAACATGGACAGCCCGATCGAACGTACTTGGGAGTGGCTGGGAGACTATTTCCCTGGGAAACTGTTGACTGGAAAAAGCCACTGAAGATGTATAGCCTGGCTGAGTCATGAGTGAAAAGGAAGCAGGGCAGGCAGGAGGGCAGATAAGACGGGAAGAGCCCAGGTGACGTCTGCTCTCAATCCTGACCAGGGCAGAACCAGCAATGAGGGTGGGGCCTTTAGAGCAGTTTCCCAAAGGAGACGCGTGGAGCGCCAGCCCAGAGAGATGCTCTGTGGGGAATAGAGTCCTGCTGTCAGGTTCAGCCATGCTGCCTACTCTGACCCTGTGCTGGTGGTTCCCGAAGTACATTCACATAGTAAAGACTCTGAGAAGTCCTGCAGCCAAGAAATCCATGTAACTTTGATTAGCTTAGCATTTCCCAAACTCGTTTGATCATGGAACCCTTCCCAATATCTAACATCCCATGGAGTTTTAGAGAGTGCATTAGGGGGAACCCTGCTTTAGAGGAATAAAAGATCAGGGTGATCTGTAAGGGGCACTTCTCAGGCCTAGAGATGGAACCTGAGTTACAGTCAGTAGTGACAGGTGAAAGGTAGGGCTGGCAAGAAAGGGGTACGTGGTGTAGCTTTGTGTCCCATGGCTTCACATGATTTGCTAATTGTGTCTCTATGAATGTGGCTAATTAACACTGACATTCAATTGCTTTTACTGAGTTATACTCTTGACAGAAAAACTCAGCAGAAGAGCTGGTTCGGTGTCTCTGCGTATGGATGTCTTCAGAGGTATCCTGCCCAGACCCTCCATCCACCTGGCGGCAACTCACCTGCTTCCAAGTTACCAGCCTGGCAAACCCACAGGTGCAAAGTGAGGACACATGTTATAGTCCTCCCGGAAAATGGGCAACAGTTTTGCTAGTAAGCAAGAAGTAATTTTTTAAAAGTCTTATATTTGCATTAACATTGTGATTTTCAAAACATTATCATTATCTGCTCTCATTTTGTTGTGCTAAACAATCCACTGGGGCCCATTTAGCTCCAGAGAAAACGGAGTGACTTGCCTAAGGTCACACAGAAATAAGGCTTGGACTAGCACCCGGGTCTTCAGACTCTTCAACCAGTGATTTTCCCACTGCCCACGAGGAGAAGGTCCTGTTGGCCCTGTCAGTGCCTTACTCACTCAGTGAGTGTTTATTGAGCACTAACAATGGATGAGCCAGGCCCCTGTTCTAAGCATGGGGCTATAACAGCAAACAAAGGCTGCCCTCATGGAGCTCGCATTCCAATGGGAAAGACAGATGACATACAAATAGATACATATAAAGGGAGTATGACGGGGTTGTAAGTGCTTTGAGAGAAGTAAATAAAGAGAACTGGAGAACGATGAGAAGTCTCTGTGGGGGACAGCCTTTTGAATGGAGACCTAACTGAAGGGGAGGAATGGCCCACGCAGGAATTTGGGGATGAGAGATCTAGGAGCGAAGATGGTAGATGCAACGGCTCTGAGGCAGCAATGTGCTGGCACATGGGAAGAATAGCCCCAAAGTCAACATGGACACAACAGAGGGGAGAAGATGAGGTGAGAGGGGCAGGCAGGGGCCAGATCACATAGAACCTTAAGGAGGTGTCTCCTATCCAATTCATCAGTTTTCAGAGACTCTGCATATAAACCCAAGGCCAGCCTTCAGTCCTTCCTATCACAGACTCCAGGACAGCTCCTGGATGAAACAGAATATCTATCACGACTCACAGTTGTGAAATGGTGCCCTGAGTGATGGGGCAAAGTTATAATTAGATCCCCTCACTTTCTTTACACATCCCCCCACTCATCAGGGCTCCTGGGGTCTCCTAGAATGTTCCAGGTGGGTCCTTGCCTGAGAAAACAATGAAGGAATGAAGGGGTGAGTAGGAAACCTTTTCTTAGAATAAGTCAGTCCTCCCTCTTGGCAGCTGAGAAGTAGGAGACATGAGTGAAAGGAGAAGACCGGAGTCCTCTTGGCTTCTAAGGAACTCTGGAGCCAGGCGACCTTGCATTTTGATACAGCTGCTTATGAGCTGTGTGGCCTCGGGCAAGTTACTTAACCTCTCTGTACCTTGGTTTCCTCATCTGTCATTCTTAGCAGTATTGAATGAGTTAGTTCCTAACACATTATAAACACTACATAAATATTTGTTAAATAATTTTTAAAAATAATTTAAAATTATTTCTACATCTCTATACATTTTACATTTCTTTTCCTTATCCCCTCACTTCTTTTAACATAACAGTAACAGCAAACACTTACCACATAGCACTTACACATGCTAGGCGCTGTAGCAGGCACCTTACAGACCTTAACTCTAGGCCTGAACTGACCTCATGCCCTTGAAAAGCCCAGAAGGGGGTCACTTGAAGGAGGGTCAGAAGTCCACTGATGGGGGGCAGTCTAGGGGATACCACGGGACCCAGGATTAGCAGACTCGGATGGAGGTGCGGCTGGCTTTGGGTTTTGAGCATCTAAACGGTGACAGATCTCAGCTACAAAGAAAGAGCCATAAAAGTGGCCAGACCGCAAGCAGGACCTACAGGGCCCCACTTCAATATCCCTGTATGCCAGTTGACCCATAATATGCTGTAAAACCAAGATCTGACAACTGTAGACCTCTGAGATGACTCAAAGGCTTTGCAGTAAACCTCAAACAGGCACGAACACACATACACATGATTGGCCTGGGCCAGCACATACATGTAAACAGGCTGGCAGGTCTTTTTACATCCCTACATGCTTGCTCCAAAGGCAGAGGCCATGGCCTGTGTCAGCGGCTTTGGAAAGGCACATTTCCGGGGCTGGGGGCTAGGGCAGCGGGTGGAAGGAGAATGGTGGGAGCTGGGGAAGGTGCTGTCTGTCGTGCTGTTTCTGGAAGCTGCTCCGGGAGTGGGGTCAGTTTGCGAGCTGGGTGTGTATGCTGGGTGTGCTTTTCTGTATGTAGATTATGCGTCAATAAAACATTTTAAAAGCGTGTGTTCTCTCACTACATTGCTGTGTGTGGTAGAGAAACAAGGACACAGTCCCAAAGCCCATAAAATAAATTATGTCACAGCTGTATGACAGAAGATCATCAAGCCGTTAAAAATAATGAGGCAGAGATAAAGGATCTGATATGGGAAGATGTTATGATAGAGTGTTAAGCGAAAAAAGAAAGTTAAGAAACAGATAGTAGTATCTCAAATCTGAAAAATAGTTGATATTTGATCATTTTATATGGTTTATCACATACACAGAATAAAACTATGTCTATATGTAAATAACTTGGAAAAACATACAATGAATTCACAACCGGGGTAGCATAGATTTTTAGTTTGTATGTTACACATTTCCATATTTCTTTAATTTTTTGTAATAAACTTGTATTTAGTGATTAGTGACAAATAATAACCATCATAAAGGTATAACTTTTCTTTTTGCAGGAGGCGTAGATCTCAGCAGTGAGCCAGAATTGGTAACTTCTGGCTAAGGTAACTTCTAACCCAGAAATGCTAAGACGCCACCTGAGTGAAGGTCAGCTGCGGTCCGGAAGCACACGTACCTGTAATATTTTGGAGTAGCTGATCACAATGAGCAGTCCTGGCACCAAGAAGTTCAGAGTGACGAAGGACACATCCCAGGAGATTTCTCCGGCAATGCTGGGCCAAACCAGTGTGCAAATCAGAATTTCCTAGTCACAAGAAGGAAGAGAAGGTCATTTAAATGCTGGCTTCTTATTTGCCTTAAGCTCATTCCCGTTGGGGGTTTACCTGGCACTGTAACACTGTTGTGTTAGTTACACTACCACACAACTGACAAGAAATCCCAGCATCTCTTCCACGGCCCACACAACCCCACTTACAAATCATTTGCCTCTGACCTCATAATAACTATAATTATTATTCCCGTTCTCCAGGGGAGGCAACCGGGCCCCAGGTCACAGGCTGGTAAGAGCCAGAGTTAGTTCCCAGGCATGACTCCAAGCCCAGTGCTCAAGGCAACAGGGTCCACATTAAGGCATAGGGTTCATTTAAAGGCTGTGCAAACGTCTCCAAGTGTCATCTGCATCAGAGAAGGGCATGGCTGACGCCAGGGCAATGCTGGTGCCCAGACTCGGGAGTTCTGTCCCGGCAGGCCTCTCCCCAGAGGAGCACAAGGCAGCCCCAGAGCAAGACGCAAGCACAGTGGTGACCACTGGAATGTGGCTAAAGAACCTGTAGGTGTGACCGTGCTGCTGCCACTGTGTTGTGTTGAATTCAAATATTTGGCATTAATACAGACCCCCAAACAGCAGGGACATTACTGAATAGTTAAGAGATGCTGCAACAGTGTCCTCTGATGAATAAGTAGGCCAATGAAGAGTCCTATCTATCTATCTATCTATCTATCTATCATCTACCCATCCCTCCTCCCAAACACAAATATCCTGTGCCTGCTTCACTATAGGAACAAAACTGTTCAGGAAACAAGTTGCTCTTCCAAACACGTGACATAGGTTTTGAAGAGTATATTTGTGTAAAAGGACCGTATTATATATTTCTGATGGACAAGGCATCTTAACCACTGTCCAGAAGAAATAGTATCATCCATAGCACCATTCATTCATTCATTCATTCATTCAATATTTACTGAAAATAGTATCATCCATAGCACCATTCATTCATTCATTCAATATTTACTAAGTGCTATACTAGGCAAAGGCAAAGTTTTTATCATTTCTCAACATGTATCATAATTAGGTGGTCAAGCTCAAAATACTGTCAAATAGTCCCTTCTTCTCCTAGTCAGTATCAACAAAGCACTTAGTCCACACCAGGTAACACTTTACATACATTATCTCATTGGGTGTTCACAACAACCTTATGGAGATGTATTATTACGATTTTTCGAATTACACAGAGGAGGAAACTAAGGCTTAGAAACATCCTCCTCAAATAATATAACACTAATGATGTAGTCCTGGTGAATCATAGATTTTCCCTAAAGAGCTAAGACCAGCTGTGGTAGACAGTCAGACATGAGCAAAACAAGGACGATGGGCCAGGCACAGAAAGTCACCAGGGCAGAAAGCCCCACGTGCCTAACAATTAGCAAAACTGGGAAAACAAGAACCTCACCCCAGGGCATCCTTGGTTAAATGCGGTGTTTAATTTCATTTTAAAAATTTTAAAAAAATCAGCAAGCACCAAGCCCACAGTCACAGCTCTAACTCGATGTTATAATTGTGTTTCTATGGGAAAGTCTATTTGACGTAAATCGTTTTGATTCTAGGTATTCTCTCCCAGGCTGTGACTCACAGGAGTTTGGCAGCGAGTCAAGTCTCGAAGGTGGGGGCAGGAGCGTTATAATATTCTCTGCGTGTTTGAAATGGTTCCTGATTTTAAAAAGGAAATTTGAAAACCCAAAGTGCTAGGCCTGCTTTGTTACTGAGCTACAGAAGTAAAGCTGGCTGAGTCAACAAGTGTCCTTTAATTCGTTTGTTCAACCACTTACTGACCCAAGCCATGGTGGCTGAGCCACGGTGAGGCCACAGTAAGCGTGGGCTTGATCTCTGCAGTCAGGGAGGGAGAGGCCCTAGGAAACTTCAATGCAGGGCATTGAGCTGGAAGCGCCCAGCAATCTACAGGTGACAGGAGAGTGGAGTCACCTGGCAAAGCTGCATCCTGGACGTTTGTGTCAGCTGTCTGAAAGGATGGGGTTTCCGGAGAATGGAGAAGCTGGAGCTCAGTGTCAGGACCAGAAGGGATGAAGGCAGGAGGCCGGGCACATGTGGTTACATGTGACTTGCCTCCTCCCCAGCCCAATCTCCACCCCTCCCTAACACACTCGTTCATTTCCATGGCTTCTTTTTGCAGATGCTGCTGAAATCTAGTCCTTTCAGCCAGTCTTCTGAACCCCAGACTCACCCCACTACCCCGAGGACATCTCTGCAGGATGCCTCACAGGCACGTCAAGCCTCCCACCTCCCACTCCCAAAAGCTTCCACCTCCTGCAGTCACTGACTCCGAATGGAGCTGCCATTCCCCAAGCTGCCAGGAACCTGAGTACTAGCCTTCTGCCTTCTGCCTCCCCGCTCAGAGGGAACCTCGGAGTTCCACCTCGCAGCTATACGACCCACCCACAGATCTCATTCTAACTGGCCACCCCTCCCAGACCAGGCCATCTCTCCCTGAAGGGGTGTACCTGGCCCTTCTCCAGCTGGCCCCTGCCAACCCTCCTGGCACAATCTCTTGCTGACTATGGGCTATTTCCTGTGCCTGCAATGTTCCTTCAGTCCCCCACATCCTTGTCTGGCTACCTGCCTCTCATCTTCACACTCCGCTGGGTATCATTCTTGCCCCTGTGGATAGGGACATCTTTCCACAGGCCCTGCTCAAATGCTGCCTTCTCCCCACACTGGTTGACCTACAGGCAAATGCCACCTGATTCCAGCTGTTTCCTATCAGCTTCTCTAATGATTCTTCTGATAGTTATTTTAAGTATTTTAAAATTGATTTTGAGAGAGAGAGAGAGATCAATTTGTTGTTCCACTTATCTATGCATTCATTGGTTGATTTTTGTATGTGCTCTGACTGGAGATTGAACCTGCAACCATGGCATATAGGACTATGCTTCAACCAACTAAGCTACTTGGCTAGGGCTCTAAAGACTCTTCTGGAACACCCTGGGAATCACTTCATAAATCATCCTTCCTGTCCCGCCTCTTCAAACAAAAAATGTTAGACTTCAAGGTCATTTTAAGGAACTTCAAATCCTACTTGCACATCGCCTCTCCTATCAGCTTCCCAACAGAAAAGACAGAAAATACCAATGCAAACGATAGACTTGCTGTCTTTTATCTTAAAAGCATCCTCTAATGTTAACAAAGGCAAGCAAACTGTTTCCTGAGCCAAACCCACATGCAATAGAGACACGATGGCATTATTGGCCTCGTATTAAATCCGGGCAGGGTGGGCAGTGGGACCAAGGCTGCTAAGGAAGTATGAACTCATGAAAATGACACCAGGAGGAACAGACTGACCCTGGCTAAATTCCAGTTCCATCTCTTACCTGCTTTATGACGTCAGGCATTTCTTCCTCCAGGAAATAAACACAAGAACACCTACTCATGGGACTGAATTCTGCCAAGGCCTGGGACCATCTGCATGCTCAAAAAATGCACTTCCTTGAAGAGGATGAGAGTGTCTTGGGCATGTAACCCAGGGTGAGGGCAGGGGGAGGGGTGCTCAGCAAATGTTTGAAGAATAAATGGGCCGCACATTCTGGCCAGGGTGGACAGTCCTCCCCAGCTGCCAGTGAGGGTCATCGCCCCACCGGGGCCACGGCACACACAGGCAGGAATGCCGTTGGTACAGGCTGAGCTGGCCTGGCTGAAATGTCTAAGTTACTAGGATGTGTCCACCCTCTTAAAATGGCAGTCTATTATTTTACAGCAATCAGAAGAATTATACTGTTTAGAGACTGTTTAAAATATTTCTAACCACAGATAAGGAAACTAAGAATAGCTGGTAATTTTTGAGCGCTTAACCGTGTCTGTGCCAGATGTTGGCCCACTTACTGAATATTAGTCCCCATGACAATCCTAGAAAGTGAGAATCTGTTATCAGGCCCATTTTGCAAATGAGGAAGCTGAGGTATAGAGGTCAGGACCACTCGCTTGCCCCTGTCACACAGCTCCTAAATGGCAGAGATAGGATTCAAATTCACATCTGACTCCAAAGCCCACATTCGTCACACCAAATTGTGCAGCATTTTCTGAAATGTCCATTATTTCATGGTCCCTTCAGGGAAGTTACCCTGGGTTACCCTGGACTGCTGGGCACCCACTGCCCAGATGGACAAAGGGAATCATGTTTCTGATTTGGTGGGGCTGGGGGGTTGGGGGTCCAGGTAAGCAGAAAGCCCCCTGGCCAGTGCTCCTTGAGGGCGGAGCGCCAGCTTGTGCTCAGGGTCAGTTAGTTCATTCTCTGCGCCTGTGGTTTGGGTAGGAAATGTTCCCCATCCACAACCTCCATATTTCATGTCCAAGTGGGAGGTGGCAGGCCAAACCTACAGCCAGGAATGGGCAGTAGGGGACTGAGAAAACAAGCCTTTGCTGATTTTAATATGAGACTTAGTTCAGTCTAGACCAGATCCTTCTCTGTCTCTCTTTTTTTAATGGCCACACTCCCTTTTGTCCCCCCATTTCTCATTCTTTTAAACTTACTTCTTAAACCACTGGGCCTGTTTGCTCACCTATAAAAAGAGATGTTTCCTGCATGCTCAGGGCACAGCCTTGGAGGAACGAGGGTTTTTTCTGTTTGTTGGCTTACTGGC